TTTTTTTTAAATCAATTCAACTTGAGTACCCACGGTTTCGTTCAGGATCCAAAAATCGAATAGAACCCAATCAATTATCGGTTATCGGATCCAATTCCTAATTTATTTTTTCGGGAATTGGATCATAACCTTTGATTCCGGTTCGAGATATTCGATTTCGGTTAAAATGCCCAGACATACTCAATAGCAGCGTCAATAAGCATATCATTAGATTGCAAACACTAATCAAGTTAGCAGCATACAATATCTCCTACCATATAATAATTATAGCTACTAAAAACTCAAAATTTCCGACATAAATATTTAATTATGAATAAATATACAATGATAACCAATTTTTTTTTGGTGCCCCTACAATTTTGAAGTCCTGTGTGGTCGCTCAACTTGCGCATCCTCAGGACTGTCTCTGAGGATATGTGAAAATTAAAAGGGCTTGAAAATCATATTTTAGTTAAAATTTTTCTCAAAAACTGGTACTTGTTCAAAATAATGTTTAAATAATTTATGTGTGATTTCCTTAATAGTTTACATTTTTAAATAAAGTGTGATGTGAAAGAAGATGAAGGACGGATCTAAGGGTGGACAGAGTGAACTCTAGCCCATCCAACTCCAAAAAGCAAATAGAGAATATTTTTTGGCTTGAGCAGTTCATTAAGTGAGTTTACAGATCAAATTTTTTTAAATCATAATTCTCCATTCTTAAAATAGATTCTTGATACCATTTTGCAGTAGTCATGACGTACTTCACAACACATCAATCCGAACATTCTCTAAGTTAAAAGATTGCAATAGCAATTAAAATGACTGCACAAAATGAATTTAATAAAAGGTAGTCAATTCTTTTGGCTAATTTTCAGGTTATATTTCTCGATTTTAGAAGTAGATTTTGGTATTCTTTTGAAAAACTCACAACTATCTATGCAACGCATTTGACGTGAAGAAACATTAAAGGATTGACTCAAAATATTTATTTGCCTACAAAATCTAGGAATATCAAAGCCTATTTGGTTTTTTAGTTTTTTTGTTTTTTTGTTTTTTTTTTTTTTTAATATCCAGGTATCCCAGCTTACACCACACTAAATCTTGGACCCCCCAAGACCTTTGCCCCTAGAACTTTGGAGGGGCTAAATCGCGGTTATGTCTCAACTGGATCACAGGTTCCCTCCATTGCCTGTACACTTCTGCGCATAAGAAACCCTTCTCCACAATGATTATTCCATACCAAATATTTTGACCGCAGGTTCCCACCAGGAATCGAACTCTCCACCCTGTTGCTGAAAGCAAGACAATGTTTATTGATCCAGCAGTTGAGCTGTACCCCGGAGGGCCTATTTGGTTTATGTTTTAGTTTTTAGTTTCAGTTGTCTGTTCATATATTAAGATTGCTAAAAAAGCATTTGGTTTGTCATTTGAAAAGT